TCCGTTGCCTAGTACCCATAACACAAGCTTCACCAGCTTAGCATGGGACTAGGTCAATTGGTATGAAATGTCTTTAAAAAAAATATGTTTCATTAATCCTTTATTTTGCAACAAAACGGTTTGGTTTATGTCATTATTTATAGAGGTTAATGTCATTTAAACATAAAAGTTCTTTAAATTTATAAAATAGTCTAAACAGACCTGAGTGATCTTGGTTAATTGTTTATTAATTAATTTGTTAATTAGGTAAAAGTGATAAATCCATGTGATTCGTAATTCGGGCTTTAATTATTATTTAGTGAAGGGAAAACCCTTTTCTTTTACACGTACAAAGATTTGCTAAGGTATAAAAAGCAAATGTAAAAAATTAAGATACTTACGTGCATCGACACAATTGACGTCTTAGATACAGACTACTCCAATAAACTGTTGAGTGATGTGTGATAAACAGAAATTGTTGACATATCTACTGAGAATTGATAACTTCTGGGAGGTACACAATTTTCGTGCTCCATTTATGTGGAGTTAAGAAGCTCTGATAGAAAATTATCTAATTATAGTCGCTACGTAACGAATATTATTTCATATTTTTATACGTTTTGTGTCAGATTATTTTCGTCATACTGAAATCAAATAATAATAAATCTAATGTAAAAGTTTATTTAATTAATAATTATTTGATAACGAAGATAAGATCCTCCTACACATATCATTAATTTTACTAAACTTCGACTTTGAGATTTCATATACATTTTGCCTGTATTAAAATCACATTAACAACTAAAATTTATCACCTAATTAATTCTAGAATTCCGTAACAATAACTTTAAATAAAGCAACAGAAACAACAGTTAATTTAAAATGTTCCAGATAATCTTTATATGTTGAAAATAATAATAAAATTTGACACATGTACCTAGTGACCGTGAGAGTACTTTCTAACAAGGAAAGATTCGGAACAATGTGAACCAACCGTTATTATGATATCGGAGTTCGGACCTACAGCGAACGCCACTTCTGTATTATTATTGTTAAATTAATTAAAACTCGCCCGAGTTGCAATAAACTGTCTTATCAACTACGTAAAGAGGGGTCAAGACTCAAATGAAACAGAAAAATAATTTGCCACTGATAAACCCAATAGTTATAATTTATGCCTTGTTTTCGTAAGCCAATCGAACTAACAAGAACATATTGATATTTTTATAATAAATCGTTGAGATAACCCATTTGAGTTTATTGATCACGAATCCACCACACGGAGTTATCTAAATGATTTAAGCAAATTGCTACAACTCGTAATTTTTTAACGATCGCTGTTTTAATAAAATTACACGATTGTTAAGTTATATTACGTTATATAAAACATGTAAAATATGTAAAAATATTTCTGAAAACTTCGTCACTCAAAGGGGAATCAGCCCCCTAAGCAAAAACAAAGATGGCTGATGGTTTTCACGCTCGGCTTGTCATCGCGCACCGCCCAGCCGTCAGCCCCGTTGAACGCCCTTCGCACCAAGGTTATCTTGCCGATTGGCGTTTAGTCCAAAATTCCAGGCTATTATGCTTGATTCGTATTACAGGAATCCCTTTACTGTTTCTATTAGGGGTTTTTATACATGAGACCGGCCAATTAGTCCCCTGATATCATACGCCCAGGACGGTTATCGCGACGTGAATGCGTGCGGTAGGCCTTAATAGCGCGTTGTGAGCTTCGTAATGTATTTTTGGCGTGCCGCGCCCCAACCAGCATATCTACCCAACAATATTTAGTACCTGTATACGGACTTTTTAAAACTACCATAACCTCAGATTGGTCGTTGCGTGAGTCCATTCGTAAATTGCTACGACGAATAATTAGCTTTATCGGACAGCGGTTTTATGAACTCTGTTATTTATTTGTAGCGAAAGGCAATGTTCTAGCGTTATTTACTCTTTGTACAGAGCTTGTTTTGTGGTTGTACGAGTTGTAGCAGTACTGTTGTTTTGTATTTTGTTATTAGCGGCTTAATTTGGATGCCGGCCAAAACGGACAAATGATTATAGTGGCGATTTTAGGGAAGTTAAGTATTGAAATTGTTGTACTGGCATGATACTGCATTTAAAACTGCGTCGACTATTTGCAAGAGTTAATTTTAGACGTTGAAGATTTAATTAACAGTTCTAATAATTTGATTTACAATAGTAGTGATGAAAATAAAAGAAAATACACTACCAATCATGCTGTTATCATAATTATAACTCACCACCTTTTTCCATTTTTTGCCGTAGGCCTACTTCAACGACTGACATTGCTGTCAATTTGAAAATGCTGAAAAACATTTCTTTTAAATTTAAAACCCTTAATATGTTTCAATTTACAGTAAGCAACATATTCTTTAAAAATGTCATGTTTATTCAGAAAATTTCATTGACACAGCCAGGGTTCCATTCTTAGAGTTAGGAGTCACGCTCCTAACAGCTAGTTCGCTTGCTTTCCTTTCATAAAAAAATATCTTATCCCACTCAGAATACTTAAGCTTATTGTATGCCCAAACGAAGTCACTATAATGCTTGTGTAATAATTATGTAATAAGTACAAAGTATATTTTTTTCTGATTCGCTCAAAACACAAGATACGTATTTGACACGTAATTCGATCATCTACACAATGCCCGATAAATTTTCAACACAAAACTGTCACCAAGATTTAAAAGACGTCTATAATTTCATAGGCGGTGTATCATTTGACTGATAAACTCGTTGATGTGGAAGAAATAGGCGAACAGTCAGCAACGCATGTTTGCCCCTATAGCAAGGTGTGAAGGTTCTAAACTGTGGTGTCTAGTCGCTGGCTGTACGCATTTGAAGTCGATGTCATTGGTAAATTCGAAATTGTAACATGATCCTAGTTGTACCTTTTAAGGCGGCAACTCAAAAGGCCTTTGTTTAATCAGCCTATTGGAATGAAAAAGCTGTCCTGATAAAAAATAACGCGATGAATCCTTATAATACAGAAAATAATTCTCACTTGTCCTAATGCCAATATAATGTTGTAGAAACCACTAAAAGTATTTTGATAATTTAATTTTGAGTAAAAAATTTATCAAAGCTGTTTTTGAATCTGATTAAGAACAGACCTAATCAGTATAAAAAGATTTATGCTAACAAAAAATATTGTGGTGCGTAATTAAGACTAAAGTCTAAACAACTAAAATAAGGTACATCAATTATGTACAATAATTTCAATTAATGCTACCGAAAAATCTTTGACTAAATACTGTTACGAGACAATGATAAAATAATAAATCCATTTATAAATCGTTGGTGATAAAACTCAAATAGATATTATCAAAAATAGGATTCTAATGAAGCGCGGGCGTGATTCGTTTTAATAATAACAGCGATAGGTGGCAGCAATAATTTTGTGTTTATCTCATTTTTATGAGTTTAAGTAGGAAACGCGAGGTGGCTGGAGATAGGGATTTAATTGAAGGCAGGGGCGAACCACCCGCTGCGGCGGAAAAAATAATAAAAAAATGAACCGCTGCCATCCCCGCGAGCGCGGATGCTGTGAAAGTGGCGCGTTGTGAATAAATGAACGTTTTTTTGTCTGCAGAATATGCCTAAGCTTCGTCGTTCCACTTTCGTATTATCGCTTCAATTCCGCGCTTGTTTAGCTCATTCATCAGGGAGACGTCATTAAAATATAACTTTTGCACTTGATTATATAATAGAGCAAAAGATCCGCACTTTTATTTCGTGTAATTATCAAGAAGCTTTATGCTGACAATAGCTGAATAAACGTTATTAAATTAGGCTAGTCGGCTGGGTTAATGAAAACGGTAACAAAACAAAATAATATTCCATTTCATATTTATTTACGAGAATCTCATTCTGTTGGGGGCGAGAAGAATTAAGTCAACAACGGAGTTACAATAGAGACCGTGTTTATTTAGTAAGGTGTGTCAAATGAAATGGAGCTCTGTGTGTTATCTGATAAAGTAGCGAATCGATTGCTTCCCTCTTAGACAGGGGCGATGCCCGTCACTTCTGCGATTTAAGTGACAGTTTTATTAATTTCCCATACTACTCATCCCTATTTTCCACCCTTCTCAGTTACCAACTGCATTGGTGACATATGGATACACTTTAACGTTTATTCGCTTCTTCAACGAGATATCAACTACGTTTTAATTTAATCGAATGTTTTTATATAGTTAACTAAATTGTTTTTGATATAACTTTAACAAGCGCAATTAATGCTTTGTTATTCTCACTTCTACTATCACTTTGTTTACTTAGAGCATTTAATTAATCTTAATAGAACAACGATACGAGGAATACATAATAAAGATAGGTGGGACAGCGTGGCCTGCAAGCGAATGCGTACGGTTCGGGAGATAAGCTGCAACCTAACGCCGACACAGTAGCTAAAGGTTTATCTCGATTTCAATTATTACACTAGCTCTTTCATTGGACTGGTGGGGCGGCCACGGGAGGCAGGCGGCTATGCCGGGGCGGTCACGAACCAACTTATCTCCTCTTCCAAATCGGACTCGGCCATTTACGCTTGATTGTATCCACCTTTAAAAACTTTGCGAATTACTCCGTGTTGTTTCTCGGAATATTTTCCACGGTTTTATAGATGGTACTTTGTTGAATTGAAATACTATTTTGTAATAAATTATATTACTGATGGTGTTGTTTAGTTGAATTACATATCATTAGCCTTTTGTTTCTTAAATTTATGTAATAATATTATTAAGAAATATATATTCGTACGAATTGCTTTACTCTGTGATTAGGAGCATGACGTATATGCAGGCTTGCACATTTTATAAAAAAGAGTCTTGGAGATTTAAAGGAGTGACGGAGAGTTTATTGCCAGTTCTTCTCGTCCATTCTACACCCTTGGTTTGAGCACTGGCAGTAAATGTTAATTTAGAAGTATTAATATTTTACTGACGTTCATAAGTGGATTAATAAATAATGGTATGATTAAATAGTGTACAGATATAATGGTGGTACGACGTTCTTTAATAACATTTATTTTTGCCAGCAGATATGGAATGGATCTCAATGGAGCAAGGCGGAAAAATGCAACTCGCGAAACGACGAGTACGTTAAAGGCATGGCTCAACGAGCATAAGAAAAACCCATATCCAACTAAAGGAGAGAAGATAATGTTAGCCATCATAACGAAGATGACTCTTACACAAGTTTCTACGTGGTTTGCAAACGCCCGCAGGCGTCTCAAGAAGGAGAACAAAATGACGTGGGAGCCACGGAACAGAGTGGATGATGATGACAATAACAATGATGACGATGACCACAAAAGCAACGACGGAAAGGATGGATTGGGTATGTACTCTTGAATATTTAAATACATGGCTCATGCAATCGTAATAATAGAGAATTCGCGAAATTCTTCAAAATTATTGACGTGTTTTGTTTCAGAATTTATTAATGTGTGTTTGTGACCAAATTTGAAATTCCATCACTCTGAAACTTACTATTTAATCATTTGTTTTAATAACACAAGGTTTAAAAAGAGAAACATTCTTTGACCAATCTTTTTTTATAGATGGAAAAGACTCCGGCACTGGTTCCAGCGAAGATGGTGATAGGCCACAACAAAGGTTAGATTTGTTGGGTCAACGGACTGAATCTGAGTGGTCTGAATCACGAGCTGACAGCGGTCCAGAATCACCTGAGCCATACGAGCGACCAATACATCCAGCGTTCCAGCATCTGCCATCAAGAGCTCCACCGGGAAGCACGCCCGCATCAGCGAAGCCGAGGATATGGTCTCTCGCAGACATGGCAAGTAAAGACGGGGAAGTGCCGGCACCACCCGCCTCCGCGTCTGCCTTCTATCAGTCCGCAGCTGCCGCGGCAGCCGCCCGCCTCGCTCACCCATACCGACCGGAGCTGTACCGCGGCCTTTACCCCCCGACACATCCAGCAGATGTCGCCCTTCTGGAGTACTCCCGCTCTCTCGCTCTGGCTGCTCCCGCCCCGGCTCCCCCTGCGCCATCCCCGTCGTCGTCCTCCACGTCGTCCCTTGCCGAGCCCCCTCCTCCCTCCCGCGCCTGACCGCTCGCCGCACGTCTACACCTGGCGCACCGACAATAAACGCGATCGGCCCGTGAGTGACGCGATACACCTGTAAATATCAATATAAATATACATACGTATATATGCGTGATAATTTATGCACCGGTAGAGAAGCTTAGAATTGTGATAGTGGACAGAGGCGAGCCGTGAGGTTAACAACTCGCAAACGACGTCGCTGCGAATGCGCCGACTGACCGACAATACTAGGTGCTAACTCAAATTGGACCTTGCGAAATGTTACTGTAGTTATTATTGGAGGTGGTTGAGATGAAGTGATTAAATAAAAATAGGTATTAATACGCGTAACGTTTCTACAAGATAGACGTGACTATTTTAGACTATTATTTAATATGTAGAGTGTAAATTATTATTTTGAAAATGTTCTCCTTATATTTAGTGCCTAATTACGTCCAATTTTCTCTATTGTGTAATAGTTTCGTAAACGTCTATCATACGAATTATAATACTTATTTATTGATACGAGGTCAGTAGTAATAGCTGTTTGTTTGCGATATTATCTACAGATTGCAGATTTTGAGAAATCTGATTTGTTTGTTTCTAGTCAGACGACTATCATTGTCTTTGTTAAATATAAAATGAAACGTTTCTGCGAACTACACTTTAGTAAGGAATTGGTATGAATGTGAGGCTGGGCCACTATTCCTGATGCACATTGTACATTGTACTAATAACGGCCGTAGCATAAAATAGAGTCATAATTAAAAAACATCGAAAATATTGTATATGTCCCAGTCTTAATTCCTAAGCAAAGATTCCTTTTTTCGTATGTTAAATTATCCTATTTTAATTTTAAATATATTTTACTGTGTCTATTCAGAAAGAATGTCTTTAATGGCCTTGTATAATGTAATAAAGTAGTTGTATAGTGATATAAACATTTGTTTCTATATAGTGTAAAATATTTCCAACATTATAGAGACTGAAAGTCCAAAATTGAGTCTATAGTTTTGTACATACATACATACGTCTCTGTTATTAGTAAATATGTAATCGTATAATAAATATTTAAGAGTGATAACACAATAATATCTGTATCACCAGATTCGCATGTAAATAAACAGATAAATGCGTATGCAACGAACGTATTTTCGAACTATAGTGATTAGTTATTTGTGAAAAATTCGAAAAAAAAAATATGATAAATCAGTAAATATTCCTATGTGTTAGTGATAATATTAAAATTTAGACAGTTTTACGTTTTTAATGTTTAATTGTTCGTAATCACATGACACATTCACAAATTATTTTAAGCAATATTGTTTATAGACGGATTTTGTGAGCTTCAAAGTCGTAACAAGAAGGTGTGTGAATAGATGCAATAAAATTTAATACACAAAATAAAAATTCGTATTTTATTATTTTCATCCCTTTTTTGACGTAACCTCTAACACACACAATAAAGTATAAAACAAAAAAACTAAATGAAGAGAAGTGCTTCACTCTGTGCACTCTGTTCGCTCTTATTAAGTCCAGTCGAGTTTAAATACAGATAAAATAGGTTCGACTTTCAAATTATAACTTTGATATCATTTATTTTCATTTTAAAATACTTTGCTTTTACGTTAACAAGGGTTGACGGAGGTTGCAAAACTGTTATCTGAAGTTAGTGTTGCCAGTTTTAATATTAAAAGCACGATGAATTACAGAAAACCTAAATTTTTATCATCTATATTTAAAGTGATTATTCATCATTCTCAAATCTTCTATTAAGAATATAACAAGAAACTTATAGTAGTTTCGTGATACATTATTATATTTTGTATTCGAATGAGACAAATTCTGTCAAAGTCAAAAAATTCAAGTTGCTATATAATTATAACTGGATCTTTGACTAAAATAATCTACGAATGTTAAATGCATTGACGCGTGGTAAACGTTTATAATATTTATAAGAATATAATATGTCTGAGATAGACGATAACTTCACATATAAACTAATTTATTACATAATCTAAATCTAAACATTTCGAGTGCTTAGCAGCATTCGGCAAAAGATCACACCAATTTGGCAGATAATAATTTGACATTAGATACCGATTAAGCCCCAAGTTGGTTGTTGCGTTGATTCAAAGTAGTTTTATGTAATTGAATTCAAAGAAAGGTACCTATTTGCAAATATGAAAATATTTGTTGCGAGTTTTTGACATGAAACGGCCATCTCTTGTTAGCCAATCAGATCTACTCACGTCTACTGTAAATAACGCTCTGGTTGGTTCACGCGTTGTTCATTTCCTCGATTTTTGTACTCACCGTCCGTTATATTTGCTAAAGATTAGACCTATTTTTTCTATAACACTTTTTCATTTATCGATATTCAACAACAATGGACCGTGGACTAAAGAGACCGTGGTTTTTCATTAAACGATGTTTAGAAAACCATGATAACAAACTAGAATCGCTTTGTGTCGCGGGTTTTAATTAACATGTTACCGTGGTATACTAAATCACTCGAAAACTAGACCTAAATTACCGCCAACTTAGGTGATTCTAATTAGAACATCAAAGACAAGTACTAGTAATAATTTCATTATGATTTCACAAATTTTCCGTAATTGGGTCGTTGTCAAACAAAATACACATAAATCACGAACAATATAATCCTTTGAAGTGGTCGTGTCCGGCGTGACGTCATTCTTATAATATGTCGTACATTCATTATTTACCCACGTATCGTAGATGAAAGCCGTGCACAATATAAATAAACAAACGAAGAGCGTTGAAAGGGTGATAGAATTATATTGGTATTCGTGAGAAATAGTCAATTATCCGTCCGTTATGTTTAAACAGAAATGAGAGATTTAGTAGCGCACTCGTTTCCTTGTTCCGATGCAATTATGAGCCAAGTTGGACATACTCGGAATAGAGGACATCTGACAGATGTGTTAAGTTAGGATGCTAATTAAGAATAACGTTTATTTTAAGCATGAAAAAAAGTAATTAAGTGCTATTACAATCTAATATATAAAATTCTCGTGTCACAATCTTCGTTCCAATACTCCTCCGAAACGGATCGACCGATTCTTATGATTTTTTTATGCATACTCAGTAAGTCTGAGAATCGGCTACTATCTATCTTTCAAATCTCTAAGTGATAAGGGGTGCTTTATTTACTAGACAACATTTTTGTTTTTATTTTTTTAATGATATAACATACAAAAATACATACAACCCTTAATTTTCACCTCAAATCTTATGACTTGAACTCTGAGGATTATATAGAGAAAAATTGAGAGAAAAACCTAAAAAGTTTTGATTCCAGAAATCCGAACAGTCTCTGGGGTAGCATAGCAAAATGTTCCATGTTGGTATGTACTAAAAAGGTAGGCTAGGCATTAAGGAGAAACAGAGTTCGCGGGAGCAGTTAGTTTTATTATAATACAAACATTGGCTTAAGTATGCTTGACATATAATGACGTAATTTAAGACACATCTAACATACGACTGTGTCTTAAGGACCCAATAGCTTATAGCCTAATTATAATATCAATACTCGTTATATATACTAAGTTTCTAGCTCCATCCGTTTTGATTTAAAAAACTCCGACGATAAAAATGCTTTATGACAGACGCGATCCAATAACTCCATTCGAATTTGTCACGTGGACAGGCGTTAGCTAATATTTTTCCTTTAGCTGATCATGTCTGTCGCGAAGTATTTTTGTCTAAAGGAGAAAAACTATAACAGGAATTTTCCATTCCATTGATAAATTTGCAAACTTAAATTTTCGTGCATTATTTTAACTTATATTAATTTTAAATCACTTCGTATTCTGGAACGAAGAGCAACTTTGTGCTTCATGACTACCATCAGTTGGTTATTTGTTTCCGAACCAATTCAACTTAGGGTCAAGATAAGAGTACCACATCTTCAAAGTGATGTTCACGGGCGATATCACTTCGATGCGAGCCTCTGGCCCGTTTGCCCTCTTTTATTTCAAATAACTCTGTCTGGAAATTAAGAACTCGAATGATATGATGATTAATTAAATGCGTCCCGTATGAGTGGCTTAATACATGTCAATTCAAAGTAAAGTTCTCATTGAAATGTTTATCGACACGTCCTAATATTTAATCAAGTATTGGCTTTTCGTACATTACTCTTAATGAAGAGGGCGTCTTCGTGACTCACTTCTTGATGTCTTCTCATTTCAATTAACACTCTCACGCACCAATCACATGTCATTGTCACATCAACATATATTGTTACTTCATCCAATCTTAATAAACACATCAAAACGACCCGTATAAAAACCTAACGCTACAGAATTAAATGACTCGAAGAATTCGTTCAATATGAACATAAAAAAACCTTATTTTTACAGAGCTCAAGCGTGTTGGATAAATAGTCCAACATGTTTCTATAACAAAGACATCTTAATAGCCGATGACAAGCAAAAGTCAGTGTAACAATCTAAGTGTTGATTGCTCATAATTTTATATGCATAACCCAGTCAAAATTAGGTCTTTTGTCATAATTCTTCATAAACACGTGGTGTGTATATTTCGGAGGGACAGGATTTCTTGGGAGACAACAGGCTTCGCAGATCTAGTTTAAACGGATTAGTGACGTCATTGCTAGGATACTGGACTATGAATAAATATATTTCAAATATTTAGAATCGAGAATTAGCATAAACAGGAACTTGTATACCTACCTGTTCGCTAAAGCGTTGTTTAAAAGACCTGATACAGTCTTTCCCTATTCATAGATTATTGCAATCACGACCTTATGATGTGTTATTTACAATGTTATTTCTATTTTACCACGGTGTAAGAATTCAAAGAAGGAATTCCGATTCCGTAGCGTCTGCTATGCCATCTAAAATATTGGACATCTCCATCTTGGTTGCGATTTTGTTCGTTCTTTGGAAACAAACAATGAGTCGGTATTGTCAGAGAATGTGTGCATACTTTAGATTCCACGCCCCACGTGGTTAACAATTTAAATTTCGAAAACA